AAAAAAAAACAAAAAAACAAAAAAAACAAAAAAACAAAATGGTTAAAAATTACTCAAGGGTCTCAAATTGTACTCAAATGCAATATACCAAAAAAATGACTTGGTAATGTATCACCAATATTATCAATTTTACACATGAGCATTACCAATACCAACAAGAAGGTGAGTTTGCATTGTCCTACCAAATATCCTTTGTACCAAACAGGAATTAAGAATCTCCCAAAACAAAACAACTACTAAGAAAGTAATAATAACATAGGAGACGAGAATACTTGTAGATTCAGAACACGATAAGATTATCTGTAAGTTGTAACAAGACTGGATAAAGCTTATTTTTCCCTTTTTAGTATAAAAATTAACATTGAACAAGGTAGCAACAATTTCACAACAATTCTGATAAAATTTACACAGTTCCCAATAGCCATTCATGATATTATACACAGTCAGAAAAGTAGATGATTATCGAAATGCTACCGGTTCGGTTCGGTTTTACCGAACTGAACCGATAAGGATAAAAAAAAATATATTAACATAAGTATATAACTATATAAAGGATCGACTTTTATATTTATTTATAAAATAGGGCTCACTTTTCAAATAATAATTAGGGCTCAGTTTCTAAATAATAGTTAGGACACAATTTTGTAAAAAAAATAAAATAAGTGAAAGTAAGTTTAAAATCAAAATTCCCCACCCAAATTCCCCACTCAATACTCGAATATCTTGATTGAAGTGCAACTTGTTGGGCCACGGGGATTGCTTATTTGCTTACTGTGAACATATAGGGCTTGCTTATTAGCCCTATCACTTCATATCACTTCATTACAGAGTTATTGAGCTATGCAAAGTTGCAAACTAAGAAGTTATCTTCATAAAACTACATATCACTTCATAAAACTACATATCACTCCCACATATGTAGTAATACAGACTTATTGAGCTATGCAAAGTTGCAAACAACTATGAGAGCCAAAATTGAGTTTTTTTTTAATTATAATTATTGTCCCAATATATCATTCTTCAGTTCCTGTATGAGCTCCAATTGCGGTTCATAACTTATCAATAAAATTCATGTTACTAACTACTAAGGTGTGGACTTTATGAACACTAAGCTTTAAAATCTAAATCTTAACCCATTCATTATCACTTTGAATGTAACTGAATGTGTAAGTTACATAACAATGAAGAAAAAAAGAAACAGGAAAAAGGATATAAAATAACACCTGAACAAATAAAATCCACATATCATCTTAAAGCTGTAGATGAACATGTGAACATATATGATTTGTCATGCTCCAACAAAATCCACATATGAACAAAATCTCCACATATGCAAAAAATAGGCTTTTTCATATAAAACAGCAACAAAAGAGAACAGGAACTACCAAAAGAGGGTGAGAATCTCACAGATATTGGAGAACCGAACTACGAAGGCTGAGGGGACGGGAGACGTGCGAACAGGGCCTGGTACGAACGATGTGTTGGTGTTATATACTTAAGCTTTGCTTTATTTGATATTACACTTGTTATTCCTTGATGAATGAGAATTATGTTTGGTTAAATAAGTTCCACGTTCTATTGTTTTGCATGTAGATAAGTGGGTCGTCATCGGGCGTACCGAAGATCACTATATCAGTTACTTGCGAAACAATTGGTTCACAACGTAGATGGAATTGAACAACTCATCGGAACGGTTGTAGTGTCAACCGTACGGTTTGTC